TCGTTGCCCTAGAAGGTAAGGCCATCCCGGCCAGTGGATAAGTGTGGGGAAATCTCTCTTAAAAAAACTCACTCCCCAGGCACTGCAGAGGGATGCTGGCCTGATGGGGGTCTGGGCTAAAAGGAGTGGGCTGACATACCCAGTTTGAGTCCTTTCCATTCCTAGGATCTGAAGGTGAGAACCCTGGCAGGCCTCATCCATCATGCAGGCAAATACTTCCCTTGGTAATCTTTAATCAAATGAAAACTTTAGGAATTTGCACTTCATCTGATGGTGAACAAGAAATCATCAGCCTGGAGGTTTCCTGATCACTGCGGGGTCAACACCAGGAGCCAATACTTACCTGAGTAAGAAGAGACCTATTTTTAGAAGGTGGCATCCTGGTTTCCATTCACTGTTATTCACAGGTCACAGTGCTGACTGTGGCTTCTGAAAATCTGCTGGGCTTACGAGTCATCATGACTTCAGCACCTTATCTTGTTTCCTAAGGCCTATTACTCCCAGAGGGGCAAAACTAGAACACTCACTTGTCATGGGTTTTTCCCCTTGTCCCCAGCCTCAGTGGCTTTGCCTTCATCTGGCTGGGACAGATAATTGTCTTTGTGTAAAAAAAAAGAGGACTATTTCAGGGGCAGTGGAATCTAACTCAAGGGCTGGCAGTTAGTAAGCCAAGTACATACCCATAAGCATCAGGCACCTGTGACAAGGGTTCAAATAATGGCAAATTCTCTGTTGGATAATGATGGAACAGAGAAGATGCAGCAGAGAGGATAAAAATCTTAGTTTCCTGAGTTTTAGTGCAATACATAAAGTAGTTATGGTTAATGTTAATGATACAGCAAACTTTAGCTTTGGATAAAACTACCATAGAGTCAGGATTATACATTTTTTTTTTTTTTTTACAATCCCTAATGGATTAATGGTAAACCTTCTTTAGTTAGATTAATGTATTTACAGGGAAACTGAACGTATTTACAGGAAATTTCATTGTCCTGAATTCAATGTCAAGGAGCCTTGACTTTGGCAAAGTCTTAGGTGATCCTCTTGCCTGGAGATTGGGCCTGTGCCAGAAAAGTTCAACCAGAAACCACTACCTTCACTTTGGTCTTAAAGTTTTTTGAAATGTGTCGATAGATAGAGTGTGCACCTTTTCCCTAACTTGGAGAAACTTCAGGAAGAAACACAGAGAATGATCCAAAGGGTTAAAAACAGAGTCTAGGAGGAGACTTTAAAAGGAGGAAGCTGACGTTGCTTGGAGGAAGAAAGAAGGCTGCAAGATAACATTTATCATGGCTTTGAGGCTACACAGAGTTCCCTCTCAGAGTTATCCATCCACTCATCCACTCGTTCACCCAAAGTGTCATGCACCGTATCAGGACCTGGGGGATGTGGAGGAGGACACCAGCAGAGGCAGATAAAACGAAGTCTTTAGCTTCAAAAATCTCTTCTCAATTTCTAGTGACTGAGAAGTGAATAAAATTGCGCATAGGGTTGGAAACAAGTAGGAAGTAAGTCTGCAGTGAAGGGATTTGAGAAATTGAAAAGCTTGCCAATGCCAAAGGAGCGATGGAAATTAAATAATACATTCCCACCTGCCATGTGTTTACGAGAACCACTGCTGGTTAAATGGTGAAGTGATTTTCAGGGCCGACTGGAAGAAGTTCCAACAGAAAAAAAAAAATTAGAGCTTCAATTTCATAGTCTGCAATCTTCTATTATATGCCTTGTGCGGTCAGTATAAAGCAAGGCAACTATTTTGTGGTTTCCACTGTGCTTTTCATCTACACTTGATACTGTATGATTCATATCAGGGTCTATCCAGGCCACAGAAACAGCAGAGAAGGAAAAACCAGTGATGGCATCTCTCCCCACAGTGAAGTTAACGAAGAGCCCACTGGCAATGTTTCCCAAGAAAACATGTACAAATTCACGGTAAAACAGAGGTGCTAAGTCTTGAGTTCCTCTTCTGCCACAAGTTCTGGAATTGCCCAACTTTTGATTAACTGAGAGTTATCATCACTTAGGTCACATAAAATTGTGATTCTGTATCACAAATATAGGGCTGATCTGCTTACTTTATTGAACTGGTACAGAAAATCAAGTTAGATAATTCAAATACCAAGCTAGCGTGTTTTGGGGGGTTTTTTTTGAACTTGAATATTCTAGTTTGACTTTAACCACTCAAACAGGAAAATTCAAAATTTTCCATCCGTCTTCAAGTCCAGTGTAAAAACTTACAAAAACCATGACGATAGAAACAGAATCTTATGGTAAAATAAAGGCCTCCCTCAAGAGAGCAATTTCTAGTCAATATTTGCAATATTCAGTGATCTTTGTGGAAATTTAAGTAAGAATTTTATTTTTAAAATGCTCAAAATTATGTAATGGGTTTCCCCAATATGCAAACTGCCCATACCTAAAATTATGAGGAATCAAAAAGTTGTTCTAACCTTTCTTCTTTCTTTGTTGATTATTGTTATAAAATGAATAGACTATTTTTAAAAAATTGGTACTTTAAACCAGTCCATTAAATAACACATTCTAAGAAAACTATCTCCTTTGTACAAAGCATATTGTTTTCTCCTAATGATAATACTGATATATATAGATAGATAGATAGATATATGCATATATCTCTATATATAATTCATTAATGTAGCATATGGCACGATAATTGGAAAAAAATTGTTTCTAAACATATATCATTATGTATCATAAGCACATAATTCAACAGAAGTGACAGCTACTTAATGAAATCCTCCCTGTCCCCTCCATCCTGAAACAATGTCTCCTAGGTTAAGTATCTATCCGTTCATTGCTTACCTGTCTCACTTCCAATCAAAGGCTGATTTGCAAAATGCTTGACAAAATCCTTTAAAGATGAGAATTCATTAAAGCCAAATTTAAATGAATATCCGGTATATTCAACATGAAAGTGTTTGACAGAGTCTTTGGCTCTGAAAGGGAAAAAGAAATGCTTAAGGTTATTTAACAAATGAATATCTTTTTTTGAAGATGCTAGGTACTAGCCTCACCATTAAACCCTTCTAAAAACTGAGAATTACAACACAATTATTGAAACCACTGGCGTTTTTAAAGCACTAGTTTTTTGGTGGTTTTTTTCTTGGCAGAGCTCTTCTCAATTTTTCACTGTAATGGAAGACAAGAGACGATTCTCCCTGTGCACTGTCTGACTTACCAAGAGGGTCCTTGAATGGTACCCCCTTCAAGGGCACATGTTTAAGACCGGCAGAGAATAGGGATGATAGAAATCTCCCCGGCTTCTTTTTGGCTCTTCTCTCTCTCAATCTTACTTGTTTGGGAGCCAGTCTGAATTCTGCTTCTGTCACTTAATTAGTTGTGTGAGCCCCACCCTTTTCTTGCCATGCTGGTTCCACTGCCTACTGAATAAAATACTCAATTTCCTACAATGTCATTTTCCACCTCACTTTTGGAATGAAGCAGAGCATTAAATAAATTATAAATTATAAGTATATATAGTTATATATAAATTATATATATTATTTATATACATATACATACATAGATATATATTATTTGACTCCCATTATTCCTCTCTTCTCTATGAATGGCCTGCTCCAACTTTAGCACACGTCAGAAATCAGAATCACCTGGAGGGCTTGTTAACACCCAGATTTCTAGACCCTACTCCCTGAATTCCTGGTTCAGTACTTCCAAAGTATGGGGCCCTGGAATTTGCACCCTTAACACGGTCTCAGGTGGTCTGGGGACCCTGAGAACTGCTGCTCTAATCCAAGTGGACCTACAGTTCTAGAAGTTTCTACCGTTGTCCCTCAGCTCTTACAGTTCCCTTCACCTGCAACATCATCCCTTTTGTTTCTGATCAAGCGTCAGTTCAAATACCACCTACTCTGACAATCACTGAATGATACTTCCATCCTGAGTTACCTGCTTCGCTCTCTTCAGCCATCCAAGCACTGATCTTGCTTTCTTTCCCATGGGTTACTGCACTCTACCTTGTAGAGAGCTTCCTGTGCAGCGTCCCACGGTCCCTGGGCGATACTTCCTCAGAGCAAAGTCTGGATCTTCTACAACACTCATCAACTTAGTCGGCATAGACCGGAGGCTCTCTAATACTTAGTGTTAAGGAAGTGAACCAATGAATGAGTAAAGTCAGCCATTCTTTTGATCCAGGCTGTGGTTCCTGTCACCTCTGTTGGTGGATATTTATTTTTTTTCTTCTAACAGCATTTCCAAGTGCTTGTCTTGGAAATTAGTGAGTTATATTTTGCATTTTTGTACAGATGTGATATATATATGCCACCTAATTGTAAGAAGCTTCTGATCTAATTGTTCAGATGTGACATCTACAGGTGAAAAGTTAACATTCTTTGATCCAATACTTCCACAGGTTTGTTTGTGATTTTGGGGAGATCTGTGCATTAAAGGATTTGCAGCCTAACCACCTGATGAGATTTTCACCTTTGCTATCCATCAGAGAAAGCACCATTCCTGCTTCCACCCAAGCAGAATTTCATGTCTGATTAATACTTTTCCCTAAATGTTATTTAGAAAAATCTTAAGCAAAATGTAGCAGAGTAACATGAAAAATGTTAATGAATGTGTGCTCCTGCATATGTGTGTTTTCTCAACGACCCTCTTATTTACCCCATCACCCTCCCACTGATTTCTCCCACTGCCCTTAAGAGTCGGCCTCTACACTTCTGCTCCCAGGAGTGAAGGTGTGGCAGGCAGCCATCTATCATGACCCCGATTCTCAGTCCCTGGACTACATCCACCTTTTCCCATTTATTCAATAAAATGCTAGTGTAGTTGCTGCTATGAAGGGATTTTGCAGATAATTCAGGCTCCACATTAGCTGACCGGACAATAGGGAGATTGTCCAGGTGGGCCCGACTTAATCACATGAGAGTCTTGGTAAAAGCAAAGAGTTCTTTCTGGCTGGTCACAGGAGAGGAGATGAGAGAGACACGCTCTTGCTGGTCTAGAAGGAAGCTAACATCTATGCTGTGAACTGCCTGTGGAAGCTACTTGGCAGGGGGCTGTGGGTGGATTCCAGAAGCTGACCCTGGTCCCTGGCCAATAGCTAGATGGAAAATGGGGAGCTCAGTCCTACAGAAGCAAGGAAATGAATGAAAAGGAATGAAGCAAAAAAGAAGAGAATGAAGGAAGAGGACGCAGAGTCCCAGCTGAACAACAGCCTCAGCCAGCATCTTAGTTTCAGCCTGGTAGGAGCCTGAGCAGAGAAACTGGAGAGCCCGCCTGGGCTTCTGACAAACAGAAACTGTGAGATAATCAATGTAGTTGTTAAAGCCACAACGTTTGGGGTAATTCGTTAAGTGGCATAGAAAATATGGAAGTCCAGAAGCACAAAGAGAAGATAAAAAAAATTAATTCTTGGGTTTTGAGCTCATAGACACCTGCCATCAATTATGTAGGGAAATATTTTGAAGCCAGTTTTTCCCCCTCTCGGAGTGAGAGGAGACTTAAAAAAACAAAGCAGAACAAAAACGGTCTCTAAACTGGATGAAAAGAGGATGCATAGAGAAAGGAGTGTAGATGTTGCTACCGAGTTAGTGACGGGGTCCTCACATCCCTAGTCTAAGCAGAGGGCAACGTCCCATAAACCCAGACAGACTTGCCACATGCCCGCAGAAGCCAAGGTGACAGATGCTGCCCGAGAACCAACGCCTCCCCGGGGTTATCACCTGGCAAGGTCATCTTTCCTGATCAGGAGGCCAGCCAGGAGGAAGCAGGGGAGGAGAGAGATCCCGGAAGGACTGGGCCATCACAGGTTTGGGCTGCACAGGGACTGGATTAATTTCATTAACATTCAGAGGAAGTGGAGCTTGGAGAAAGGTCGGGCCATTTATAGGGAAAAAAAACTTAAAATTTGCCTTACTGCCTGCTTGAGTTTGCGATTATGAACGCTGCACAATCACAAATCGTTCTGATTTTCCAGGGGAAGCAAGGAATATTAAAAGGGCACTGGGCCAGGTTTCAGGGATTTGGATTCCGGCGCTGTTTCTATCGCTGATTTATGGGGTACAAAGACACTTTAGCACTTTGGGTTTCAGTTTCTCCAACAGGCAAGCGAGACATTAAACAATTCATAAAGTGTCCTTCAGCTCTCACATTTTCTTCCCTGCTGAGGGAAGGAGGAAGAATGTTTCTTACAGTCTGCCATTCGGAGCTTGGAATCCTTAGAGCTGCAGGTCTACCAGGAGTCAAGAGAATCTTTTTCTGGCAATGTAAGAATGTTGTTATCTGGCAACGTGAGTGTGATGATAAAGTCAACGGCCGTGTAAGGAAGAGATGGGACGACACTGAATTCATAGAGTTCGTAAGCAACCTACCTCACAGAGAGAGAATACAGCCCGGTCCTTTCATTGCTGTCCCTCAGAAGGTAGCTTCCGTCACATCCGTTTGAGAGGAGAAGAGCCTCGGCCGCGTGGCGTGTGAGGTTGCCGTGATACCACCTAGGAAGGAAAGAACCACACTTTCACTCGGGACTCACCGCAGGTGACTCTTCCTTCACTTGGTTTTCCTCTCCAAGATGACCTCAGCAATATTCTCCACCATAGGTAGCCCAGAGACCAAACTCTCAGCCCAAACATCAGGACAAGGAACTCTCTGGGCCAGGCTGAGGGGAGAGTAGAGAGAATTGGCGAATAGGAGGGTTATGGGTTGAATTGTGTCCTGAAAGTCCGTACGTTGAATTTTCCCAGTACCTCAGCATGAGACCTTATTTGGAGATAGGGTTGCCTTTAGCAAGTTATAATGAGGTCATTTAGGGTGGGCCCTAGCCCAGTCTTCTTACAAAAGGGGCGTATTCGGAGACAGACTTGCCAACAGGGAAAATGCCCTGGGAACGCGAAGACGGCCATCTACAAGTCAAGAAGAAAGGGCTGGAACAGATCCCTCCATTACAACTCTTGGAAGGAACTGACACCTGGATTTCTGGCTCCGATCCTCCAGAACTTGGAGACAATACCTTTCTGCTGTTGAAACCGCCCATTTTATGGCACTTTGTCACGGCAGCCCTAGCAAACAGACATACAAGCTTTCTGTGTCAACAATTTTTTTTTCGAAGTCCAAGTCAAAAATAACCGTAAGAGTAAGGTTTGGCCAATTTTCTCTCTTTCTTTTGCTCTCTCGCTCACGCCCTCTTTTGCACGTGCAGTACTCCCTTGGCAGTGTTGGCAAAGCACTGAGCTACTGCACTGGAGTCCACGGTCATGAGTGAGATGAAGTTGAACACAAGGAATTCAGATGTTTGATGCTGACATGTAAACCCCATCAGATAGTGTTTCAAACTGACAAATATCTGAGGAGCCAGAGAAGTCCCAAGGAGATTCAAATTGATCTATATGTTTAGAAAAAAGTTTGTTTCAGAAAAGGTAACATGGATCCAGGGTAGAAGAAAAAAAAAACCCAAGTAGTTCAAAAAGAGGACTCAGTAAAAATAAAGCCTTGTTCTCACCCTGAATCCCCAGTCCCCCTGTTGTCTTCCCCAGAGGATACCAAAGTCAACCATTTTCCTGTGTTTCCTCCTCAGAGACATCTATGCATCTAAAGGCTTTCTAGTACGTCCCCCCACCTCCTAATTCTGTGGAAATAAGAGCATTCTAGGCACACTGATCTGCACCTAGCTCCTTTCCCCTAATTACAGATCTTACACGTCTCTTTAAGGACTCGCCAGAGGTGGTCCAGTGTGGTGGGTTGGGATTGCGGCCCCTGGAGTTGGCTTGCCTGAGTCCTATCCAGGTGATAGACCCCTCTACCAGCTGCACAACCTTGGGCAAGTTACATAACCAGTCAGAGCCTCAGCTTTCTTACTTCCAAAACAGGATTCACACTAGCCATATCCCATAGGCCAGTTGTAAGTACTGCACACATTAACACACATGAAATGGCCAAAACAGGCCTGGCAAACAGCAGAACTCAGGACATGGTAGTTGTTACATAAAACCACTGAGACCCACAAAGCCATAACTTGTGATACACCCTCAGTGGTGTGATTTTCTTGTGGCTCAAATATAATTTTTTATTACCTTGAATTTATTTGGGATAACAGGAAGCTAGGTCCTGGGGACAGTTACTGCTGCTCAGGGCAGCTGAGAAGGGGACACAGGCAACTACACTATGCCAGTGATCGAAGAGCCAATGAAGAGGTATGGATAGTGTATGAGAACTTCAAGGAAGAGGGGCGCCTGGGTGGCTCAGTTGTTAAGCGTCTGCCTTCGGCTCAGGTCATGATCTCAGGGTCCTGGGATCGAGCCCTGAATCGGGAGCTCGCTTCTCCCTCTGAGCAGGGAGCCCGCTTCTCCCTCTCCCTCCGCACCGCCCCCACTTGTGCTCACTTGCTCTCTCTCTCTCTCTCAAATAAATAAATAAAATCTTAAAAAAAAAAAAAAAAGAACTTCAAGGAAGAGCCCTACTCTGAGGGTGAGGGTTCCTGCTGTCATGAACCACCCTGGTGTCTACTGGGACATCCCTGTGGCATGAATCTTTAGCCTGATAATAAACAGTACATGTAAGACCATCTGTGGAAGGAAGTTTCTACATAGGTCTCCAAGCTGTTTTCTAAATCTGCATTTCCCAATACATGTTTCTTTAGCATATTTCCTCTTTGAGGCACAGCAACTCCCATCCTGTATTAGAAATGTATTTGCTGGCTGGAAGCAATGGCAAGGAGAAACATTTTTATAAGAACACCGACTAAGTTGTTTACGTGCAAAGCAGCCCCCTTCATTGAACTGATTCAGACAAGTTCAAATCTTCTCATTACAAAATGCTTTCAAAGGACAATTGGAACCTGAAACTAATACAATGTTGTATGTCAGTTATGCCCAATAAAAAAAAGGACAGTTGGAGGAATTAAAAATGAAGCTACAGGGGCGCCTGGGTGGCTCAGTCGTTAAGCATCTGCCTTTGGCTCAGGTCATGACCTCAGGGTCCTGGGATCAGGCCCCAAGTCGGGCTCCCTGCTCGGCGGGAAGTCTTCTTCTCCCTCTCCCACTCCCCCTGCTTGTGTTCCCTCTCTCGCTGTCTGTCTGTCAAATAAATAAAATCTTTAAAAAAAAAAAGTGAAGCTACAAAAAACTTCAGGTTCGTTACAGCCAAAATTCTAATTCTTTTTGATAGGTGAAATCTCCACAAGGTCACAAGTCCTTAAATACATTATGCCAATAATTAATTTTTCGATGAACACTTTGACATAAGATTCAGTTTGAGCCAATAAATCACTTAATTGAAGTGATAAAACTTGATTAATGAAATTCTAAAACATAAAGGGTTTGGACATTCTCTTGGATTCTTTTCAGTGAGACCTGAAGTCTGTGCTGAAAACATGTACAGAATTCTTCTGATAATTACAACTTGATGGCAGTTTTTACTAAGAATTTTTTTATGGTCATCTTTTAAATAATAACTATGTATCATAAACACACAAGAAATACTGGAGCATAAAGCAGGGAGAATCACACTGTGCTCGAATGTGGAACATCTCAGCACAGGTTAATTTCTGGATGGCAGCTTGGTTGAGTCACTACTGCTATGCCCTTGGGTTTTATGGAGTCCTGGGCCTGGGCCAATCTAAGACAGAGACTGCCAGGCAGCCTCTTACATTTCATGATGTCTCTGGGGCAATGGGATCCTCATTCCCCAAAGTTCTCTTCCACAAACATCTGACCTTCCTCTTTCAGTTGAGCTAAGTATTCCTTTCCTAGAAATTCTGATGAACATAGCTTCCGGGGAAGTGACTCTAGATCCAAATAACATCACATGTCCTTTATAGGACTATATCCACTTTCGGTAAGGATCATTCAAGACCATGTCCACAAAGAGCTAAAGGCTGAAAATAGAATAAAGTTGATAGTTTTCTCATAATCAACTTTCTCTACTTTTTATCATTCCAATCTTTATTTATTAAGCTTCAAATCTGTTGCAGACATTACACAAGGCATCATACTAGGCAGGTCAAAGGGAATAAACATGGAAAAGCCCCAGTCTAGTCTCCATTAATTTAGTCAGGAGGGTAAGACAAGTACTTTGCAAACTACGTCCAAGAGAATGGTTCCAGGAAGAAAGATCAAGACTGTTGTTTGAATGAGCCAATCTGAGTAGGCCTTGAAGGACACTTAAGTTATTTGGTAAAGTGTGTATTATTTTTTCTGATTATAAATCATATGTAGTAAAAATTAAAATACGTACACATACAGAAGAGAAAGTGAAAGTCTTTCATAAAAGAGGAAATATGAATTTCAAATAGTCTCAATACTAATCAAAGAAATGCAAATTAAGACAACAGTGTGATATTTTCTTCACTTGCCAGAGTGGCTAACCTTGAAGAATTAGACAGTATTAAGTACTGAATAATACAGGGCCATGGGTATTACCATCCACTATTGGTAAGGGTAGAAGATTGGAGGGGAATCTAGCACATGTGGGCTGAACATGTGCATGTGACCAGCTATTCCTGTTCTAGAGTCTGCCTGGTGAAACACTCAAAAGTAAGCTGAAGGAAATAGGAACAAAGGTGGTTACTGCAGAGTTGTTGGTGAGAGTAAATATTTGGAGCCATCCTAAATATCTACCATCAACAAAGTTGAGAGCCCATAGAAAAAGATTATGTAAGAAGTTAACTGAAGGTGAGAAGGCATTGAGAGCATTTTGTTGATGAGGGCAAGTGATGAGGGCAAGGGGTCAAGTGCTACCAGCATTTTAAGAACACCGACT